TTTTCCCCTAGCCTTTTCTCTCAACTCATATTCTTTCCGCCTCTCTTCAAAAGTCATACTTTTCCGCACAAATATATCGGTGAAGCCAGCTTGACGAAGATATCGGGAATTGCCTATAGCTTTGCGCTAGTGGGACAAGAATGGAAGCACTATCTTCACCAACCACTCTCGACCGGCGAATGGAATCGAATTAACGATCGCTGAAATGTCGACTACAACATCTACTGCTACGATCAAGGAACTCGCAGGATATTCTCCCAATTTGGCTACCCGGAGACATTGTTCACAGACAGTGGCACACAGTTACGTCGAAAGAATTCATGGGTTTCTGCCACAAGGATGGAATCAAGCACCTCCGCCCACCACCATTCCATCCACAGTCCAATGGGCAAGGGGTGCGCTTTGTGGATACGTGTGAACGTACTCTTCAGAAGGTCAGAGGGGAAGGAAGGAACAACGCAGGATGCTCTACAAACGTTCTTATTCAGCTGCCGCAGAAGGCCATCCCTGACATTATTAGGACGGTCGCCAGCTGAGGTCTTGGAAGACGCCTACGCTCCACCCTTACGCTACTGAAGCCCTCAGACTCAGTTTTGGAACCGAGGAGAAATCAAAAGATGGAGTCTCAGTTCAACCGTCATCACGGAGCAAAGCCAAGAAGCCTGGTGATCACGTATGGACTCGCGACTACCGCAATGGGCACCCGAGATGGACGCAAGGAGTGGTAAGATTTCGCCATGGACAATGTCTCTATGATGTTCAGGTCCACGATCAACTATGGAGAAGACAAGCCAATCAGCTTCGTCCTAGTATGGGCCGACCAGTGCGACGTCGCTGATGGATAGCTTGATCTGCCACTGCTTCCATGTGCGGACAAGAACAGCCTACACTATACACGATGCCGAGTTAGACACGGATCGACAGCCGATGCAAGATGCCGATGAGCCAACTCCAGCCACTCGACAAGCACGGACACGACGACCGCCAATTCGACTACAGGTCAATCCAAAGAAGAAGACATACACTCATAGTGTTCGTCCTTGGGAGGGAGGTGTTGGACCAGTGATGAGCCTTGATCTTGCCAAAGGCATTGTAGGCGATCGGGAATTCCAAGATCAGCCTGTGATTCTGATCAACTTCGCCCATTTTACCGGTATATTACCTGTACTTCCTGTGATAATCATCTACGTATTCTTCTGTCATTGAGCTGCATTCCTATTCGTCTCCAGCGCTCGAGGAGACAACATTCAAGAGACAAATACATTTGCCGCACCAGCCGGGATAGCAATAACATGACGGATAGGTTGTCCGTTTGAAATAAAAATCTTTGGCAAGTTTAATTTCAACATATTTTGGCCGCTCGTCGCGAAATTTTCCCCATTCTCTGGGTTGGCGGCTCAAAGAATGATAAGGCAGCTCCTTTCGCTAAATTAAAAAATTAAAAATTAGCTCGTAAAGACAGCGATTTATACTTCTATCTTGCTAAGTACAAGATAAACGTATATTTATACCTATCCAATACGTATGTAATACATATTGTCCACTTTCCAAAAAAGACAAAAAATATATGAAAAAAAGGCTAAACATATGTTTCTATGTGAATTAACAAACCTTTTATAACACGGAACCGCTTGCTCGGTCTAATCCAATCCCTTGTTGTAAACCCAATAGCTCGAGGACGAGCTACTTATTGAAGGAGGAAGTGAACCGCCTCTTTCTCGATACCGATCCCGGTTTCCAAGATGAACAGGATCTTTGTCATTTTTCCTGCGTCTTGAGTATCATCTCCTATGTCTGCAACAATTGTATGTTTCCCAAAGTTTCCCCAATGACAGCGTTGTTGTGAGCGAATGCATTCATCCCTTAAAGGAACGGTCCGCGATCAAGTATCGAAGATGAAAATATGGCATCGGGAGGATAGTGCGGTCCGCGACGAACAACCCTGTACCGTTTTCGCGGCAAAAAAGTGCAGGGGAGGGGCGCTATAAGGCAAAATAGGTCCAGTGAGGCCCCCTTAAGCAAAATAGTATAGTGACGTTCCATCATTTTTTCAGTGACTCCGGCCTCCCAAGCCCGCACCTTCGCAGGGTGAAAAACCAAGGCGAAGAGGCCGAGAAAAGCCCATGAAAATCTAAAGCGGCCTTCGCCTTATTGTTATAGATGTAGGGTTGTCCTTATATTGAGTCACAGCCTGACGCGTGCGCGCCGAGTGGTTAAAACTAGAAATGTACTGCAAAAAGTATTGTAGTGCAAAACCAAAGTGCCACGAAACGGTTGCGTAAGAAAATAGAACAACAGGTTGATGAAATAGCAACTCAAAAAGAACAAAGAAACATAATCATACGATGAATTAAGAATATTAAAGGTCAGTCTTTCAAACGTGGCGCCACACCTATTTCTGGCAGCGAGCCAATAACGTGGAACGCTCGTCCATAAGCGCTGTTTCCCCATCGTATGCACGTACAAACTAGGATTGTAATGGGGTCCTATTTAGGACATTGGGCATGTTTTTTCTGCTTTTTCCTTCACTATTGTTTTACTCTAAACCTTGTCCTTTTTATGCGAAGCCCAAATTCACTATCTAAGATGGCAAATGAGCGCGGGCTTTGTCTTTTAATTTCATTTGGATCGTTCAACAGTTCAACATGTATTTTACCTCAATACATCTGAGGACATTGGAATGTCATGTGCTGAGCTCGAGGACGAGCTCACTCTGAAGGAATGGAGATGTCGGGTCTACGTTTGGGATGGTCAAAGGTTACGGCATCGCAGGAAGCTGGCGCAAGGCAAGTGGAGTGACGGTACGACAGGACAGTGGTAGTGAGTACTCACCATGTGATGGTCCACCCCGACCGTCCTCCACTCTCGTCCAAGTTCCCTTCCCTTTCACCTTTATCATGTTGGTATAATAAATATGTATAGCCTAAAATCTTTTGTATTGAAGCACCGCTACTGACCTTCAGATTACAGACGCGAACCTGTAATCTGATACACCAAACCCATAATGCCCATCTCACTAACCACAGGAAGTTGGGTTCAGTGATATAGGAATGTGACGGGAAATTATGGTGACCGGAAGGTGATAGCACCTGGTAGACGGTGAGGTACGCTGCGGGCTCGTCTGTGACCGGTAACCATTTCGTTTAATAACAGTAGGTAGGGGACTATCCCCACTACATTTTTAGGACTATACTGCTGCCTGTGTAGCTTAAGTAGTAGGCAATAGGACCAGTGGGCAGCGTGAACTCATTCATTTATCAATTGATTTTGATGTCGCCCCTACTACATATAATTTGCTACTCTGTCCGTCTGTCCAGGAATTTAAAGTTTCACTTAAAAGCCACTCGGAGAGCTTGAAACAGGTGTGGCTCAGCTGTGAATAGTCACTTCTAGAATGCGATATAAGGGGTGGGATAGAGCGTTATCACAGCTGATAAAATTCAATAGGAGGCAATAGAAGAGGAGAGTCGTTAAAATCACAGCGAGAGTCGCAGCAGCTGTAAGATAGTCAGTTCCAAAATGTGATATAGGAGGTGGAACGGGAACACTATTGGTAGATGATGGGTTAATATAAGGCAGCCTCAGAAATATAAGGAATGTTATTCTCAGCGGCTCTTCTGTTTAAGAATGTGACATATAGCGATAATGGAGATAATAGTGAGTACAGAAAAGCCATAAGGAACTGTATTAGCTGATAAAAGACGATTACAGTGTCACCACTCCTCATGTGTGAATTAACACAGCAATTAATAATTCATTAATAGACACTGATGACTGGTGACAAAATCATTGATAGACACTGATGACGGGGTGACCAAGGGGGGTATGCATTAACCAACTGACAAAAGCGATGGAATTATCTTTATTGCATTTCGTACTACTTCTTCTTACTATTCTGTCAAGCTTCAACAAAATCATAGTCAGCCACTGAAATATGTACTCTTGAATGCATGTAATGACGTCGAGCGGGGTGGGGGTATATTGCGCGCCTGACACGGGAAAGTAGGAAGTCAGAAAACCAGCAGCAAAATCATTCCTGAAGCTTGTCCGCTGTGTTTTCACGGCGACCTTTAGAAATTCGTACCAACCATGAGAGCCTTCGGATGTTGGCGACGAACACTTTTAAGCGTTAGACGGAGAGGACCGGCTTGCACTTGCAATGTTGAAGGACACTACATCGGGTTGACCGCTCAATGAGTGACTGCCACCCTGAATGAATCTGAATCAAGTGCTAAGAATAGCCGTTCCTCTGCTATGCTTTGGCGCAACAGAAGCGACTCATTTCCCATTATTGCGGCATGGAATGAGAAATGTTTTATGCGCGGCAACGGAGATGATCTGGTTAGTGATCGGAAAAGAGCTAAGCTTTCTCCGAGCAAGGATTTCTTCGCGGCAGTAAAAGCAGTCACTCAAGGAAGTTCGGGAAGACTTGTTCGCAGTCAGGAAGACAGAAAGAATCCAAGTTTACACCGTGAGCGCTGACCCTGTCAAAGGTCAGCTTTACGAGTTACCTTGTAATGGACGCGGCAGTGTGCGCCAGCCAAGGTGTACAGATAATGTTTTGTTGTGTCGCAGGATAAAATGGATAACAATACAATACATGCAAATGAACAAATAAATAGTAAAGTAAATACCAATACTTACAATATGATCGCAGATAGAAACAAAGATATATGTACAAGTTCAACTTCTGAGCAAAGTCGGTAGAGAGACATACAGAAGTAAAAAGCTACCAAACGATGATGATCATTGTGCTGAGATGATCATAATGAGGTTTTTTGGCGAGCCGAACACATTGAACTTATTGTTAGTAGTGTGTGATGTTACTGCTATGTTGCTGTAAGGAGGACAAAGGAGACACTTCAAGCTGACATACTCGCGGGTTGTTGGCACCAGGACCACCAGAGCGCATCACCCCAGCGTGAAAGTAACGTCCCACTACTACGGGTGACTGCCCCATGTTCTGTCAGGAAGCAGCTACTCAGTATTACTTGCCTTCATCACGGGGTTATCTTTTGATTGTAGTGACACATTTCGCAGTATTCGTCTACTCTATGTGTGTGACATTTCTGCTCCATCTTGTAGATGAATGGAGTCCCCAACGGCTCGAATCCTAGCTTTGTGCTGTTCCGAAACCGCATTTGAGCTATAAATTTCACCTAAATTAAACAACATTTGCTTCGCTAAATTGCATGTGCAGGGACGAGTATAGAGTAGTTTCACGAACCGTTTGCGTGTCAGTGCTTCTGCGGATAGGGTACACCTCTACGAAGATATCAACATAGTTCATGCCAAGGTCACGATGTGCTAGTCGTGCTTCACTCCAGCTGAAACATCGCAAACAGTACATGTAGAAGATCTTCATTCAAAACAGGAACTGCGGAAAGTTATACCACCTGAATGGATTGCGCCTCAGCAGATCTATGACGTAACAAATTAGGCCGTTAAGGCAGCAGATACTTTTCTATCGAATTGAAAAAACGACCAATGCAACAAGTTAAAAACTAACCAACAACTAATCTTTTCGAAGGAAATCAGAAAGAAATAAGCTTGCACTTACTTATGCTCGCTTTTCACTCCTTGCTGAACCATGGCGTTTAGCGAAAATACACGCAGTGAATGGTGTTTCGGAGCCGCAGTTACGTTTTGAAGGCATTCGCTTTTGAGGATTTCTGTCTTCGTGAGCTCGAACACTTTGTGAAACTCTGCAGTGTCACTGGAATGGATTCTTTCGTGATAATCAATTACGAAAGTGACTTCATAGAATCGCATACATATGAAGCAACTCATAAAATTGTGCTTTTTTAGCCCAGCCTCGCTTCAGAGTGTTGCATCTTACTGGATAGTTTGAATTTTTCCGTTATATTTGCAGTTTTGTTTTCTCCTCTGTTTACCGTGTGCCATCTTGGGATTATAGGAGCCGGCTTACGTTTGGCTTCTGATTTTCGTACTGTTCTGTGGTTTGTTGGTATACCCGCTTGCTGAAGTGTTGACACGTTTTCAACGAATTCCTCTGGAACGATGCACCATGCGCGGGTACTCAGCTGAAGCTTGCATATCTTAATTACAAACCACTTAGGCTACGCCTTATTTACTCACCAGAGCTCCATCCCGTATCAAGCCCCAATTTCATCACATCTTTAACTAAGAAAGGATTGATCTGTTAGTTTCGCCTTTGCTGATTTTAGGAAAAATTATTATGTACCTGAATGAATAAACAGGTGAACGAAAACTCACTGATTGCTCTTCTATTACCTAGGCTTCTCAAAGTTTAGCTCCGAGTTCTATTTGCTAGAAAACTTTAAATGTGCTAGTTTTTATGTATGATGGCGCTGAAGACAACGGAAACCCCGTTCCTGTATTTTCAACGAAAATTGAAACGCCATGCTGAAGAATCAAGAGATAGCTTTTCTGGAGTGATTGATTATGTAAATGATAGGGTAGTGTACTGGGAAGAAGCGCCGCGTACCAGGGCAGGAGTTAGATTCTACGTCGAAGTGGATTGGCTTCATTCCAGCTCAATGGTTCCACCTTCGTGGGTCGATTGATTGGTGTCAGACTTGCACTGGAGAATAAAAAATACTTCGTACTTGTACTTCGCGAAGCACTGCGGAGACCACACCGTATTTGAAACATGTTAGGTTGGCGGGAAAGTTCTGTCACATTTTTTCAAATTAGACTTTCTTTTTACAGAGAGGCGTACAAGATCAAAATTATACAGCAATGTTATTGAGAGATCCTTGCCAGTTTTTGGACAGTTCGTGGATGCCATCGCTTAACAATGCACGCCGGCGCGACGCAAAGTTGGACATCATCTCAACTTTGACTTGGGCTCAAGTCGTGGAGGTTTTCTCGGCTGTATAACGGTTGAATACCGAGGCGACTAGCAGTCCTCCCAAGTGTCTGAACTACACCGGTACAAGG